CTGGGTGGTCCCTCCATGTTCAAAACTTGCCTCCATCTTTTCATGCATGATTTATACACACAAATATCTGATGGTGGGAATTTCCAGCATCCCCATAGGTCATGTTTCTTGAATTTCACACCCAAAAAACAGTCTGCTTGAGTCACAATTTGTGTCTGCTCTTAGGAACTCAGCCAGGCGGTAGACAAGAGACCATGGAAGAAAACCTGGGGGTACTCTCCTCTGTACCCCAGTCCAACCACAGAGACCAAATGCTTGGTGCTTCTGTTTACCAAATGAATTCTAGTGTACAATGCCTGTTGGAGACATCTACTGCTCTCCACATCACATCATCTGTTAATGTCCATTGTCAATGGGGAATAATTAACCAACACTAAAACACAGAAGGAAAGAAAGGATTCTGTTTTCCAAACCCATTTTTAAGAACTGCTATTAAAGGGAAGTGTCAGACACTTCTCTACTTTGATCATTTTCAAAACTTTTAATGAATCTCCTCTTTTAAACAAATAATGCCATTAGCATGGATGCTATGCAAATGAAATGCAGGGCCTGTGTTTGTTTGGCTTGCTCAAAATTGTTTCAGAAATCTGATCACATCAAATATTTTTCAGTTTATGCAAAACAGAACCTCTCAATCCATTTTTTGTGAAGAGTATGTAGTTTTTCATTTGCATGTTCGTCCCAAGTGGTGAATTTACACTTTGAATGTAGGATTAACAAATTTCCATGTCTGTATGGCATTTTGAAACTTAATCATGGAGAAGATACTTCTCTAAGCCGAGGGCCATAAGAATCTGACATCGAATGACCTGCTAGGAAACTGGGGCCAGAATTTCCATGTGGATGGCACCCCAGCTTTGTGGTTACTGATCTCATACAACGACTGTCCTTTCAGAAATGGATCTCATACCAGCTTGGAGAATTTAGGAACAAGACCATATGTTCTACAGCTAAGAAATCATTCTGATCCTGGGCTCCACAACTCTGCCTGTACAACCCTTTTCCAAACTGCTCTTTCCCAGTTTGGCGAACAAAACTGGCAGTGCCACTTCCTCACTGTCAGCGAACAATGCGGTGGCCTGAGAGAGCTAAGCATGAGCACACTGACTATAGCATCAACTATTTTTTTCTTAATTGTCCTGAGATCCTAGAAAGGAAACGAGCGTCTGTGCTGACAGAGGAGCTCAGCATGAACTCTCATTTTTCACATGGAGCTAATTAAAAACTGAAATTAGTTAAATATGGAAATGACACTTGCAAGCACTTTAGTAGAATTCTGGCAAAGTCCCTCTGGAGTGCTGTGACATTACCTGCTGCTTCGAAACTCCCCAACTGAATTTCACAGTTAAAAGGCTGAGCAAAGGGAAAGTTATTATTGAGATTTCAGATTCAGAATGTGTCTGTAAAACTCCAAATTAAATTTCACGGCTGGCCCTTGAGTGGCTAGTGATACAGAACGCAGGCCAATAGAGTGGGCCGCTAACAATGTCCCAGCAAGCAGGCGCTGCAATTACCCCTCTTTAGGTATGGTGCTGTGGGTGGCAGAGGTGCGGCAATCAAAAGGTTCACGGATGTATTTCTCCTGGAATCTGACTCGAGGTGGCTCATACACAGATTCCAACAAAAAGCCTGGACTCGTGAAGGCGGGATGATAGGCCTGATTAGATGAGAACTGAGCAGGAGGATGAGAACTGCTTAGGGGTAACAGGACATACTTCTCACATATGACTTTGTTGTATACGTGTCTCGTCTGTCTCTCCATTCATACATCTATCCATCCACCACCCATCTACCTCCTCTGTCTAAAGTATATATGCTCCTACCAGTCTATGTATACACATGTGCATGTACATATGTACACATTTTCATAAATGTATATATACATACATCTCCTTGTGTATATGTATGTATCTCATAGGCCTTCATTCATAATTGTGATACCTCATCATGAAGCAGGAAGTTCAAAAAGCTTGCGTTTCAGGGAAAAGTGAAACAAGTCTTTTCTTAAAATTCTTGCTAGAATAAACAGCTTTTCTAAAGGGACGTGATCAAGGGGGATGTTCCGGGGTAGGTGGGAACACAGCCCCAGCCAGGACTCTGTTCCCCCTTTAGAGGCAAAAGCAGTAGCATTTGCTGAAGGGCAAATTATGGTGTTTGTCTACATCTGCATACAATTTAATTAAACCCGCCTACACGTCTGATTGCTCTAGTGCTGTGGCAGAGTGTTCGGGAAGTCCAGCCACCCTCCAAACAACTGGAGTGTCGTGATTTTATTGTTTTTCCGACACCCCATCCATTTGCCCTTGAGGCATTCCCTCCCCTTGGCCTCTGGCCATGACTGAGGCAGGCAGCACATCCCCGCCTGGGCAGGCCAGCGAGAGAGGAGCCGCTGGGTGCCAAAGCCAGCTCTGCTCCCCGAGTCGCTGGCGGGAAGCCGTCGGAGGGGAGGGCTGGGCTGCCAGCGAGAGAGCTCTCTGGCAGCTTAGGCGCTCGTCTTCCCATCACACCCGGCTCTCTAGTCCGAGGCCTGGAAATCATCACGGCTTACCCAGCTGGATGGGTGGAATGCTGCAGCTGTACCATCAGGCTGGCTTATTTTTATTGAATTTTGAATATCCAATTTCAAAGCAATTCAAATGAATTTGCCCAAGGCCTTGGATCAGCGTGGCTGCCGACACTCTCTGCGGCAGGGTTTCGAAGTTCATATTTCTAAACAAAGGCAAGATTACAGAAGCTTTCCTTGTCAGGACCAGCGCCTCTAAAGAACCGTCTCCACCGACTCTATTAGGTCACACGCTGACAGCAGGGAAATCTGCGGTGCCAATGACGCACGTTCCTCACTATTCAGGCCGTGGTGGCCCAGCGAACTTCTTGCACTGATTACAGGAAGATCAGGGGAGTAGGATGGGCACCGACAGCACGTGTAAGGATTCAGGACACGGAGCTGTCACAGGTCACGTCGCTTGCACAGTGGAGATGGCAAAGCTCTAAAGTGTGTCAGTGAGTGGGTAGGGGTGCATGAGGGGCCTGGCAGATCCCCTTCCCTAAACACTGACCTCAGAGCAAAATAAACATTCGAGAAATCAGGAATAATTCTAAACTTGCTCTGTCGCAAGGGGCCTGCTCCCCTTCCTTCCGCCACATTGAAAATAAAAACAAGGAACCACTAGAATGCATGGGTAGAATGGAACTGATGATGGAATCCCTCATCTCCTGAGCCTTCTGACCAGCTCCAATTTTCAGCCTCCCCTTGCTCCTGCCATTTTTCTTTTCTAATCCTGCTACACCCATGCCTGGAAGGCTTTTATTTTTAAATGCACAAAGCAAAACAATTCATGTGGTAGAAGGCTGAAGAGCCCTGGGGAAAAATGGGGCCTCCTGAAACAAAGCCCCACCCGGCATCTCTTGGCCCAGGGTGGCTGGATAATCAAAACATAACCTCTGATTTCTTTCAGTAGGAACTGGGACACAGTGAGGGCTTGGCACTCATTGAAAACTGTTTTCAAGAAGCCCTGGGACAAAACCAATTCAATAACTATTGATGTTCACAATCTGTCAACTCCACCCCCAGAGGGGTTAGAAAGAAACTCAGAGCAGAGAGCAAATTGGGAGACGGAAGCTCTCGGAGTGAAGATGGATGGTTTTGTGGGAGCAGGCTCCTGTCTGCTCTTGCTCGGTGAGGCACCCCAGCCCCCGCACAGTGCTTGGCCCACAGTAGGTACTTAATGATTATTTGTGCAATGAATGAAATGAGCAAATGAACAGTGTCTGTGTTGTGTGGCACTTGGGGGTGCCATGTGGGTTTTAGAATCAGCAAGATTCCTGATCATTTAATTGTTACATGGCATTGGGTAAATAATCTCAAGGGCTCAGTTTCCCCACTCCCGGTAAAATGTGTTGGGTAATAGTACCCAATATCTGGGATTATTTTAAAGATTAGAGGAGAGATCATTTATTTTTCCCTTTGCATGGTTCTATGGAATCTGTCTTTAAAAGGTGGTGGTGGTGGGGGGGGGGAATCAAGTAGTATTAAAAAGAGCCTTGTTCTGTTTTTTGGAAAAGTTTATAGTCCTTCAAAAGTGATTGTTTTGCTGGCTCAGTGCAATCAGTACTGGAGTAATAAGTTACAGAGACCATTAACTTATGGGGCATCACCATAAGTATATGACATTTAAGGTGAACTTCAAATGTACACCATATATGAGGAAGGCATGATTTTCCTTTCAGAACTAGTTCTGTAGATTCAGAATAAAGACATAGAAACCAAAACAAAATAAATAGCACCAGGACAAAGCAAAAGTCCCAAAGACAGAGGTAAGGGAAGGCTGTGGATATCAAGACCCCAATGGCGGGAGGAACCTGAGGGAGCTGGGTAGATGCTTCTAGAAACTGGAGGTAAGAAGGGCTATGCACAGGTCACTCCCCTTTAGTGCTCAACCTGGTTGGCTTTAAATCATTTGCTCCTTTGAGCAAACAGTGCTGCTGGTTAGTTATCCAGCAGATGTTTTTAATTACAAGCTGAAAAAGTCATTCTATAGCCCCGAAACCAGTGCCCTCATGCCTAAGAAGTGCTTTTTAATATTTATACATCTAAAGAGGGTTTGCCCTTCCAGACATAGAAAATCATTAGGAATCCTTCTCAGGAGGATATATCTTTGGTCAAGGTCATGCACAAACCTAGACTTCGAATTCCAGCCATGGCTTACCAGTAGGTGCCACTTTTGTGCCACAAACCGTTCCTCGCCCTCTCAACTTGCTTTCTAGGTTATCAATTTTTAAAGGAAGGAAAGGAACAAAGATAGGCTTGTGAAGACAATTCTGAGCATAGAAAAGTTGAAGAAACTTTTTCTTTTCTCCCTCGTTACTTGGCACGTCTGCTTAATAGGGCCTTTTTGATTTCGCTTCTTTCTTCCAGCACAGCAGATGAATGGGAAACCGAGGCAACAGCATTCAAAGAAATGTCTTGTAACGGTGCTAACTTTGGTTTGGCATGTCACCTCTCTAACGATAGCAGGGAGAGGAAATATTCCGTCAAAGCTGTGAGCAGGGAAGGAAACAGCCTGGACCGGGGCCAAAGACACACGGTCTCTTAGCAACTCAGGAGCCAGCTTTTTCAGTTGGGGAAGCCAACTGGTGGAAGTTCCATCCTGCCCAGCCAGGAATCACAGAGAGATGCCCCCATGGTGGCCGGTGGCCAGTGGGCGTGCTGATCATCATTTTCGGGCCCTGTTATCCAAGCAGCAGAAAATCAAGTGCCCTCAGAGGGCAGGCAACTGTCTTCTCAAGAAAACAAAACAAAACAAAATGAAGATGCCCAAGGCCAAAGCACAAAACACTGATAACCAGGTGAGATCAACATGTCATGCTTGGAAAATCCCTTGTAGGAGCATATTGGGCACCCCTCCCCCCAAATATAGGCCTAAAATCAACCAGTGTAGGAAGAAAGGGAGGGTAGGAATCTGTCCAGCCAAGATTCCTGTCCAGTCCTGATTCTTTGTACCTCTGCCTCAGGAAAAGAAGACTTTGTAAGAATCTCTGCTCACTTCTGGAGAATCAGGAGACTCCAAACACCCATTAAGATATCTTGGGGATCACCTGGTAGCCCCCACTCCTCTTTTGTAGCTAGTGGTATTTATTTCCGTGAATGTGAATGAACTTGATCAGTTAACCTAACTTTATTCTCAAAGCTATCCCACAAATCTGAGACTGACTGTTACTCTGAATCTTCAAGGAATCCAGGATATTACTGTCATGTGAGTAGTGATCCATTCCCTCTCTACCCAGATCAAAATCCAACTTGGGTTGTCTGTACCTCAACTGTTCTTTACACTCAAGCAATTAAGGCACCAAGTAAGTAAATATAAGTGAAACCTATCAAGCAAGTGAAACATGCCATTTCAAGGGAGAGGATGACGATGATTTTTAAGCCTTTTCTTTCCTCCAACATCTATTGGCCCGAAAACATTATTCTGTGACAAAATTAGCCAGTTTGCTAAGTCCAATTCTGTGTTCTCCTCTACTGGCCATTACACATGTGAGAATAACTTAGGAAGGACATTCTGTGTCCCACAATCTCCAACAACATCCTACCTGGGGGACATGCACAGATACACACGTGTAACCACTGGAGTTCCCAACAGGAAGATTGGCCTTAACCCCCCACATCCAGAGACTGGCCCCAGGTCACTCTGTCTGCGAAAGTAAAACAGATAACAGATGGAGTTGTTCCTGGTACCCTTCCCCTCCAAAATTCAGTCAATGACCAAACCTGGCATCCAACCTCCAAAATGTCTCTTCCCAGCTCTCCTTTCACCCACTCTGCTTTTGCCAATGTTCTGCTCACCTTCTCTGCTTTCCGAGCTTTGAGATAGCCTCCTCCAAACTTGCTGCCTTCAGTATTTAACCGCTCATTTCATTCTACATGGGGCTACCAGACTATTCCAAGCCCTCTCTGCTTAGAATTCAGCAGGTTTTGCATCACCGAAAAGTGAAATCCAAACACACATTGTGTGGCCTGAAAGTCTCTGTGCTGTGTGACCCTCCTGCTCTCCAGTCCCATCTCCATCAATATCTATGGATTTTGTGGCTCGGAGCTCAGGATACGTGGTCCCAACACAACATCATGGCACATGACGGTCCTTATTCTGAAATGTACTTCTCCACCTAGTCCTGGTGCCAAACTCCTACGAGCACTTCCAGGCTGAAGTGCCCTGACACCATGTGATGAAGCCCTGCTTTTCCTCTCCCCACTCGCGGCCCATGGAGCACCTATGTCCTCCTTAGTCTTGTGCTGTGACTTTCTATTTGTTTTCTCCGTGTGGCAGGGATCTGCTGAAGGACAGGGACCATGGTCACCATCTCTGCACCACCAGGGGCTCAGCACTTAGGCTGAAGGGAGGAGGTTTCATAAATGTGTGCCAGAGGAATCAAGGGTAAAGGACAAAGTCGCTCATCAAAAAGTCTATGACCCTAACATATGACCCAGAAAGAATGACCCTAATATTGACTCAACTTTGAGAATGAGACTTAATATTAAAATACAGATATGGGGATCCTATCACCTAAGAAGTCTTCACATGTCAGACATGCTCTATTTTCAGAACTCAGTTACTACCTCCTATCCTATTCCTTTCTGGGATTTCGATCCTATTTCTTTCTGGGCAGGGGTCTGAGGAGAATCGCCCCCTGGAATGGCCCCCATTTCAGGGACCAGCAAGCCCGTATCTGCAGTGACTCTAGCCATTAGGGTCCGGAAGCTGTCATCACTGAAGCAGACCTATGAATGGAGGGCAATCCAATCCTTTTGTCCTCTGGGCTCTATACATCTCTAGAAACAGTTATTTTCTTATGAAAAAATGAGGAGGAAAAAAGAAGAAAAAAAACTCACCAGACCATGCTAAAGCAAATGCTTAGAAAATATTTTTGAAACATTTGGAAGTAATTTCTATTCACAAATTATCTCCATTCACAAAATGAAAAGGCAAATTATGTGAGCTGGATAAATTGAGACAGAGAAGAAATCAGACTTAATGCAGGGAACAGGAGAGGAATAGGGAGAAAGGAAAAGAGAGAAGTAGTAATTCTTGCACTTCTATGACAAACAGAATTTTAAAAACATTGTGAATGCACTACTTCCTAGGAGTGCCCTCATCAGTTCCAAGATGCTGGCAGGCAGTTCATTTCTGCACATGGCAGAAGAGAAAGCATCCGCTTCAAAGAGGCCTCCCATCACCTAGAAGGAGAGTTGGGATTAACAAGCAAGAGATGTGGAAGAAAGAGAAAGAACCAAGAAAGGACTAGAGGGGAAGTTGGAGAAAGAATAGAAAAACACAAATACATCAAGAAGACAAGGATGAGCGGGCAATGAATATTCACCCGCCACCCTCAATGGCTGGGAAGCCATGTTCTGTTTTGTGCTCCTGATGTGCAAAGCCCACTTTCTCACACAGTCACAACTGGGGGGAAAAAAAAGAGAGAGCAAGACTGAGCCAGCGGAACTCCTTGATTCTCAGGAGGGTGACCTTACTGGTGAGTAAGCCAGAGGCTCCAACTCTGAGTTGAATGCAAGGAAAAGGGCTTCTGTGCAATCTAGCAGGGCACACTGCCTTCCTGTAAGCTTTCCCGGACACAGTAGGAAGAAATAGCAACATGTTATTCAAAGTGTTTGTTCATCACATGCCATACAGGAGCCACCAGCCCAAGTAGGAGGTGTTCAGAAGACAAACAGTGCCAAAGAAGCTGGGGTGAGAGGATTCACAGAATACATCTCTTATTAAAGGCTCAATACAAACTGCCCCATGCAAACAGGCTAGCCAATCTAAAAATAAGAGGCATTGCATGCTATCCCATGCCAGCGTATTTTGTGCCTAGTCCCTTGATTAGTCTTAACGATAACTCTGCCAGGATTATTGTCCTTAGTTCAGAATGATAATCTGAAACACAGGGAGCTTTTTATGACATCCAAATTAGAACCCTGGTCTCAACAGATCCAAATCCTCCTCTTCACTCCAGTCCTTTGCTTCTAAACTTGATCCTGAATTATCTCGTTTTGTTCCTGTAGCAAATCAGTGAGAGGCCCCTCCAGCTGGATCAGGACAAAGGGAGAGAAGAAATCTGATGGGCAGGAGAAGCAGCTGCTAAGCGTGCAAAGCAGGCAATAGGCACATAAACAGGCTTACTACTAGAAGCAGCTCTGTGCAAAGGTGGGTACTGACCTGGTTTAGCCTGGGACCCTATGAGGTCTGCTCTAATCCCTTCTAACAATTACTGAGCACTTATTTAAAGTGAGCACTGTGCAAAGAGCTGTGCATGCAATGCACAGTTTAACTTTTGCAGCAACTCCTCCGGGTAGGTACATTTAGCATTACCATTTTATAGAGGACAAAACTATCTTCAAGAAGGTAGTTGCTCCAAGTCACACAGCCGGTAAGTGGAAGAGCGGGGATTCCAGTCCTGTTCTGATTTCACAGGGTCTGCCGTCAGTTACCTAGCAAGCTGCTTTCCTCTTCTCCCATGCAGAAGACGCTTAGGATCATGACTTCATTTCTCTCCGAGGTCAAGAGCAAGTAAACATGGCTTCTTATTGTCATTCCACAAGCACTGGAATTTGCCAGGTCCTATTTTGAAGATTCTCCATTCCTTTACTAATTGTCTTAAGCAAATTATTTGATTTGTAGCTCAGTTTCTGCCCTCAGATTGGGAATAAAATGAAGACAATATATGCTCCCATAGTGTTACAGTAACTCAGGATGGATTTACTGCATTTGGGAAGGGGTTACCCATCAAGAGACCTATGTCTACAATTTGTGATTAAATGTGAGGAAGCTTTGCTCAAGCAGCTCCTGGCTGTGTGATCCTGGGCAACTCACTTAACATCTCTAAACTTCAGTTTCCTTATCTATGAAATGGAGATAAAAAGAGCACAACCACAGGGTTGTTGTGAGGATGAAATGAGATAATTTGGGCAAAGCCCAGTGGTCTGCAGAGAAGACATGCTGCATAAATGCTACGGTTATTCAGATGGGAAACAGAGACGCCAGGAAGGCAAATGCTTATCCATGGCTGGGCTGTGAGTTAACAGTAGAGGATGGATGGAATGGAGGTCTCTTGAGCTCCAGTTCAAGCTGCTTCCTTCACCGTTCAACCTTGGACAAGTTACTTAAATTTGTAAGACCTGGTCTCCCTGTCGGTTGAATGGGGACAATCTTCTTACCTCTGCAAATAAGGACCTGGAGGGGATTAAAGAAATGACGTGCATAAGCCCTCAGCCTGGTGCACAGTGAGCGTTCACTGCATTTTAGCCGTTATAATTATTCCTTCCCTTCTGATGTGAAAGAGAGGAGACTACGTCCTTAAGAATACAGATGTGAAAATTGGAGGAGACTTTTTCTCAGGCTGTTTGCTGACTCAGAGAACAAATAGGGAAGCCCCACCTCAGAAAGGAAGTGACAGGGGCCTCCCTGGTTGCGCTGGCATATGGGCGCAGCACTGTGAGGCTGTCCACGGCCTCTGCGGTGCTGTTTCGATCCCCACCAGCCTCGGAGCAACCCACATGGTGAGCAGACCGCTCCTGTCTCACCCTCTGCTCCCCTCAGCAGTGTATTTCGTCAGTCTGCCTGTTCTGTTCCCCGCTCTGTTTCTGTTGGGTCCTTTTGCCCTCCTGCACATCTGGCCTGTACCCCCAGTTCTTGTAAATAAATACATCTTTAAAAGAAAAAAAAAGAAAGGAAGCGACAGTGAAATGGACAAATCCCAAACCCAGGAAAGCCACCTCGGAGATGGGACCAGAGGACTCTCATCTCCCCAACTCAACAGATTCTCCTTGACGCACAGCACCTAGGATAAGTGCCTGAGTCCTCTATGTGGAATTCTTTCCCTTTCTGACTCTAGAAGCTTCTGTCAGCTCAGTTTTGAAGTACTTGATCACAACTCACACGTGCGCTGTCCTGGCCAGGAGGGCCCTGTGGGAAGGCACTGTGTTTGGAGTCTGACTTACTGGGTACCAGCCCTGCCCTGCTCTTTGTGGGCTGTGTGACTCCAAAAGGGTGGTTTTTTTGTTTGTTTTTTAGATAAAGTTTTACTGACTTACCATACTATATATATTTTGGAAGTACAGCTTCACACATCTATCTATATGTGGATAAGCCTCACCTCACCTACCTCCAAAGTTCAGTGTCTGTCCCATTATTGGCTGACCCTTTCTGCTCTTTTTTCCCTGTTACCCCCACCGACTCCTCTCACAGCCTTAGGCAGGTTCTTTCCCTTCCTGAGGCTGAGTTTCAGGTATAACAGGTGCATAATAATGCTGTTGTCCACCACCCAGAATCACCAGGGGTCCCACAACCCTCAAGCATCACTTGCTTTCCATTCTCATTTTCTGCCTTGTCAGCCACGAGTCAGGAGGAAATATGAAACGGTGTTCATTCCTTAATTATGGAATGGGGTGGGGGGAGTCACCTACTATTTCTGTGCCTTATTTTCCTGTTCTGTAAGACTAAAAAAGTGACAGCAGGGACCTCGTGGTCATAGTATGGATTAAATGAGAAAATCCATATGAACTGCTTAGCCTACAGTGGATCTCAAAAGTGATAACCATCACAATTACTATTAAGATACCAAGGAAGGATCCAGAAAAATCCTGTTTAGGTTGAGCTGTGACCCCTCCACCCAAAAGATGCTGAAGCTCCAGACATCAGTATCTGGGAGTGGGACCTCATTTGGAAGTAGATTTCTTTTTAGATGGTCAAGTTGACATGAGTTCAATAGGTTGGGCTCTAAAACAATATGACTTTTGTCCTCACAAAGAGGGGAAATTTACCCACAGGCATCAGACACAGGGAGAACACCAGGTGATGGCTGTAGTGGTAGTGAAAAGCTGAGCGTGGCCTAGAAGAGAATGTTTGAGTCTTCAGAGGGAAACCTGGCTCAGCTGACAATGACCTTGGGCCCCTAGCTTCCAGAACTGAGATGACAGATCTTCCTGGTCAGTCATTCATTTTGAGGTCCTTTGTTGTGGGAGCCCTACCAAACTAAAACACCCTCTCTCAGAATGACACACTGGAAAAGGAATAAAAGCGAGAGACATTACTAGAAGTAGTTACTGCATCTATTTCCAGAGAAGCAGAAATTTAGCTTTTGAGTATAAAAATCACTCATAAGATATAGTTAGCTTTTGGATTTATCAGGTAATTCCAACCTTCTTCTCTCTTGCAGCCTTCCATTAGAGTTGAAGAATGCTTCTGGAGTCTCCCTTGAAGTAAGGACAGTTATGTGACATAATTCTAATGAATAAGATAGAAGAAAAATTCTGCTGATGTGGATGTGTTAGGAGGTTGGCCTTAGGTTTTTCCTGATAAAAGGGGCAGAGAACTTGAATCCTTCCTTTTTCTTTCCTCCTTGAAGATAGATGTGATGTAGGGAGCTACAGTAGCCATCTTGTGGCAATAAGGCAGCAAAACCAAGGGTGGTGGGGGAGGGGGACTAAAGTGCAAGGAATGGCAAAGTGGAGAGCTAGGAAGAACTTGTGTCCTGGAACCTTGGATATTTAGAACCTTGGATATCTAGCTTTGTGAGGGAGGAGCATCAAGTCTTGTATTTTTAAAGCCACTGTTAGGGTTTTTATAGCTGTTTGCTTTTGGTGACTTGCAGCTGAATGCATTCCTAACTGACACCCTGCATGACTGACCACACTGAGCAGGACTTCAGGGTGCCTTCTTCACTATCACACTTCTTAAATATATTTCATTTAACTCCTAATTCCTTCTGCTCTTCCCAGTCATTCCAGATGCCCTGACATGGAGACCTGACTGAGGAACATGTCATCTCTCAGCTCTTAGGACTAGCCTCTAGCATAATCAGAGGAATTCTTTTCTCTTTTCTTGGAAGTGTTTTCACTAGGGGTGGTTACCAAGGCTCCCTGGGGGAATGGAAACATACCACGTCAGAGTCACCAAGCACATATTTATAAATTGATGGCAATACACGTATTAGTGAAATCATGGGGGTTAGAGTTAAATACCCTCATGTTTTGAGTCCCAAATCACAACCACTGACTGTGTGTCTATGGGCAAGTTACTTAACCTCTCTGATTCTCTCTCTTTAATTATAAATAGGAAAATCAAACCATTTTGGAGATTACATGTTGAGCATGAGATTTCTGCCATAGTAGCTCCTGAACAAATGGTTGACTTGGCTGTCCTCTTTAAGGAGAGGACAATCAGTGGTGCTACTTTGGGAAATATGTACATATCAGAGGTACTTTTCATTATATCTCTTCAGCTGAACCATCCTTTCACAGCACAAAGTCGACTGATTCAGTCAAATAACTTCTCCAAGCTGAGCAGCACAGCTTGCTTCCCTGAAAGGGACTGAGGATTTCGGAACGTGAAAAGTAACACCAAGAGGAAGAAGGGACGCCAAGCCTGAGGATCCACATTGGGCAATATAGAAGTCTGAGCTCTTATCTTAGCTCATGAGGGAAAGGAGAATAAAATACTCCTGAAGACATAGTCTTAAATCAATGAAAGTTGGATTTCACAATCTTGGCAATATCGGTATTTTGGATGGAATGATTCTTCATTGTTAGGGGGCTGCCCTATACATTGTAGGACCTTTAGCAGCATATCTGGCTTCTAGCCACCAGAGGCCAGGAGCATCTCCCAGATGTGACAACCAAAAATGTCTTCAGACATTGCCAAATGTTCCCAGGGTGGGGTGGGGGTGGGGGTGGGGTGTACTGAATTAGAGCAAAGGGCAATGAGGTACTGATGTACCAAAGGGTCTCGCTGGGTAAAACTCACTGGGAACAATTTGAAGGTAATTCCCAGTGCACTTATAATCCTATGCAAAATTACAAGAGAGGAGAGGAAATAACTGTACATCTTTTGGCCTCGGGCAAAGGTCACTATCTATTGCTCCATCCAGAAAACAGAACTAGAAGTGATGATATGTGAACTATTGCTTTCTTCAGGGCCAAAGAACTCTTCATATCAAGTGAGCTTAATGGGCAAAATGTTTGACATTCTGCCTAAAAGACTTAGCACATTCGAATCCATCCTTTCCCCACAATGTGCTATTACAGCTAAAAGAACGGAAGAACGGTTTTGCAAAGGAAGTAGAGAAAGAGGCATGGTCTCTGTTTTCTAGTCACACCCAAGCTCGTACCCAGCAGTCACTGCTTCTCAGGACATGGGTGATTCTGCACTCAATTCCCACAAAGAGACTATAAAAGAACTGCTAATGCTCAGTGAGCGCAGTTGCGGAATAGAGAGCCTACATTTTACTTTAATTCTGTGCTCCCACTAATTTTCAAAGGCTTCTTCTCATGAGCATCCTCCTTATCCTTCATCATCATTTACTTGACGCAGTCTTTGAGAGAATGAGTACTCATTTGCACTTCTCTCTGGATCTTCCTGGGGGCCCTTGGTCTTGAGATGGTAAAACACTGTTCTAAGAGACTCTGTTGTACATACCGCGAAGCTCTGAAGAGGGAAAAACTTGAGGGAAAGCCTCTTTTGCATGAAAATATTCATATGCGTTAGTTCATTATACACTTGAGAAATGACAAGTTGGTTGGTAAGAATGGTGTAACACGTTCCCTTACAATTTTACCCATGGTTAAGAGCCTGTTCACTCTGTTCCAAACTCCACTTTAAACTTCTCCTGAATGTCTTACAATTCTCATCCAATCTTTGAATCCCAAGATTCCTTTATATTTTAAAGAGGCTCTGAGTGTTGTCAGTTCCAGCAATGCTATTAGGCGGTCACGGCAAACTGTCCTGTGATTACTCTAACCTGACTGAAAAGTCAACTCTATTTGAATGCATTAAAAGAACTCCCCTCATTTACTTTTGAGGGGCGAGCTTGTGGGGGCTGCATGCTGTACTGAACTATCAGCACATGACATGCTCCCACAGGTGCTTCTGTCTCACCATGACAGAGTACAGGTGCAGGACGCCTCACAAAAGCACCCTCCCATTGCCTCTCTCATGGGGGTGAGCAGAGAAGTGTCTGTCCTGTCATTGGTCTTAACCAGCTGAGCCGGGCAGTGGCTCACGATTTAGGAGTTCCAGAAGAACCATCCCAAGGCAGAGAGTTGCCGACTAGACAGAAACAGAGGTCTGGCTTCATGACCAAACCTTATCTCGGCTCCCTCACAGCAGGAGACTAGAAGTGAGAAGGATAAAGATAAAAAAAGCAAGCAGAGAGACATAATTATCTACTAAATTTAGGACCATCCACACAGTCAATCCAGATAACACAAAGTAAAGTGCCATTGGGGCCTAAATTATCTTGGTGAGTTTGGGAAGCTAATTCCAAAATTCCCCAGGTAAGCTTGCTGTTTTATGCTTTACTTTGGGAACCTCGAAGCTGAGAGGGTATTTCATGCACTTCAGTCAAATGTTAAAGCATAGAAAATAAATCGAGACTTCAGTGTGGTGCAGAGAGAGGGCGCAGGGAGGAGGTCAAGGGCTCATTCCCTGATGTCTGGCCCTCTCTGCCCCGATCCATAAACCCATAACCAACTTCATCCATCTCACCATTCAGCCTGGGTACAGTGAGTCAGCCTCATTTGCAGAGACACAGGCAGCTGCATTAGAGTTTAAACCTGCTCATACAGTGAATATGTAGCAGATTTATCATAATTTCAAACCTGCCTCTAACCAGCTGATCAAAAGGCAAGTTTCTTCTTTGAAGATTTTCATTTGTAAGCTTCACTGCCCCCAAATCAAAAGGGGCACTGGGACAGACTCCCAGGCCCACATTCTGCATTTGCAAGGCAAGTGCCTTCAGGTCCTGGAGCGTGTTTTTCTATTTATAAATGGGTACGCTGACTTTCGGCGTCTATCCTGATGCCTTCTTTTGGTTCACAAAATTTGCACTGCATCTAAGCACTACGTGTTAGAAGAAATTTGTTGGCCTTTTAGAGTTTAGTTTTAACCCAATTCTGTTCTGCTTTTTTTCTCCGCAGACTTTCATACAAAATCTGAAGAGAATGCCTCAGAAGGGGTCTTGATGGGTTTTATTGGATCAAAGGGCCTTTCATAATAAAGAAACCGCACAGAGATTTACGGAGTGCATTAAAAAGGAACGGCTTCTCGCCAGCCCTGGTAGAATTACACACCAATAAAAAATGTTTGGGCCAACCATGCTTTTAGAAAAGTGAGTGGTGATTGAAAGAGGGCGGGTTAATTTTTAATTTTTCAGTCCTACCATCCTGGAAAATATTCCTCTTGGGGGTAAAGGACCCACTAATTCCCACCATCTTCATCTCTATAGTCAAAACAATGTGAATTCTATCATAAATATCTCTCTTCTCTCTGGAGGAACTTCCTCACAGAGCCACTCAGCTTTTCTACTTCCATAGCACCCCCTCTGTCCTCCACAGAGATCTTCACTAACTTACTCCTGCCCCATTATTGCCAAAACCTTTCCATAAGTCACCCTTGTCTCCTGATTTCCCAATCAACCCTGAATCCTTAGTCAATTAGCAAATAAATATTTATGGAGGCGCTACTAGGTAATTGACAGGATATCATGTCATAACTTTATATTACACTCATGCTTATGAACTTAAAGCACCTCCCTATTGCCAAATTAATCAAATGAAACCTCCTGTCAGATTTCCAGGCCATCTATCATCTGGTCCTGCTCTGCTCTCCTACTATTGATATTTTCCAGCACCCTTCCACAGGCCCCTTCTCATCAGCTGAAATCCTCATATTTCTGATCTCTCACATTTCCAGGGATTTGTCCCCCTTCCCGGAATGCTTCCTTGCCCCTTGCTGGTTCCATTTCTATCGACTGCTCAGCCTGGATCCTCCTCCAGCCCATGCAGCCTCCTTTCTCATCTTCAAAAGTCCAAGTCCCAAATCACAATTTAGCATCCCTGCTAAATTTTTTCTTGGGTGAATGTGCAACAAACAATAATTTGAAAAATAGGCTGACTTTACCCTTCAAATAAGAAAGACCATGGAAAGGCATCACATACACTTTAACTTAGCAATCATTTCATATGGTTGAGAAGAACAAGGCTCAAGGCATTGAGTGGGCTCTGCAAAAAGCAGAGACTTGAATTCAACTTCCTTGACCAAGGTCAGGGTTTTCTTTGCTGTGCCCAGCTGGCCCTTATAGTCACAGTGCCCCTCGAGCCCTAGCAGGCTTCCTGACCCTGGTGAATGATTTTCTTGGAAGCACAGTTTCAATGAGTCTCAATTTGGGTCAAGAAGGAATAAAGGCAGGAAATTGTTGATAATGAGAAAAAGGAAACTTTCATCAAATCGGTCATCCACTCTGCATCCGGGATTCCTACTACACCCCACCTTTCTCCAATCACCACTGAAACACATCGCTGAAGACCCCAGCGTCTCCTTGGATGCCAAGAGGGAAATCAGTTTATTTCCCGACCCCACATCTCAGTTTTAAGAAGAATGAAGATCTGGAGCGAACACTTCTGACTTTTGAGCTCCTGGATTAGGAAAAACTCAAATGAATAGCTGCATTTGCTGGAAATGACACAATCAAACTGTCCGACCTTCACAAAACAATATACTCATGCGTGTTGGTGAGCACACCTGGGTAAAACATAAAACAGCAACCACCACCCTCCCTCCCACACCCAACCTGCCCGATTTCTCCCTCCCTGGCTTCCTGGCAGATTTTAACAGGCACCCAGGTGGAACCCGACTCAAATTGCAGCTCATTAGCACAGACGAATGGAAGTTTAAGGGAAAGTGTGTAGTAAACAATGGTAATCCTGACTTAAGCTGGTGAAAGCGACCTTCCTCCCTTTCCTAAAACAAATCGCTGTTTCAGGCTGCGGTGCCTGTCTTACCATTACCAGTTAATACGGCCGCGGGCAGGGGATGCAGCTGTGGCCCCATGCTCCGGCTCCACAGTCAGGCTGAACATAATCCCTCATGTAATGAAAAACCTATTTCGATTTCTGAGGCCTCACTACTCTTCATACTGAAGAGCCTTGTGCCTGTCACACATTTATTGAAGCTTATTACTCATCTAGGCAGCGGGGCCCAGTTAGTATTTGGAATTATATTTTAAATCACAATTTTTCTATTATTTATTTTAGGATTCCAAGGCTACGGTGAAAGCATGTCAGTGTTACTCTTGATGCGCTTTCAAAGGCGTTAAATCCCCAAATTAGAATTCTCTTCTGTGCAGAGAACCCTGATGCAGATGTGGAGACCTGTCGTGGGGACCCCACGGGGATGTCAGGACTCCACCATGATCAGGGGCTTCAAGGGAGAGATTTTTTAAGTCTCCCCATTCAGCACTCACGTAATCTCTTCTAGGCCACCGGCTTACTTTCCCCCTCTCACGTTAGGCTCTTTTCTTTGACTTTCGAAGATAAATGGATCCAGTCTCTCAGGATGTCAGGGACTGGGGCTGAGAACAGATGGCCTAGAACTGTAGTCTCATCATCTGGTAGAAAAATAAGAATTGGCCCCACCGAGGTCAGAGGATTTTCCAAAATGACCACGAAGCCTGAGTTTCTGTTTATTCACTGTACCAGTGGTGAACACGCAGTTCTTTCCTGTTCGATAGAAGGTGGTTGAAACTACCATTCTCTCTAGCTCGTCTTCTGGCCTCCTGCCCTTATAGCCTCAGGAAAAAAAAAAAATACATAAAGCATGTACACTATAGTTATGCAAAGGGATGCCTTTCTGTATTTTTTCTTGTCTTGTGCTTTCTTTCCTCCTCTTCTGGCATTTACTGTCTTTTTTTCCTTCTGCACAAAACCACATTATTTGCCATTAGGATCTGAATCCCGCTAGACCTATTGCCTGCAAGAGAATGTGCAAACTTTGATAACCATCTCGCCATATAAAGACAACTTTCCACTTTTCTGCAGTTCAGACCCAGTTCCTTCCTGTGTCTGGAGTCTCCCTGTGTATCTCCACCAAGAGAGATCCCAGCTCAACTGTTCGAGAAAACCTGATTGCATGTCCCATCAGATCAGTGAGAGGGTGACAGCAAATTGAGAGCCGCTTCCGTTCCCTCCCAGTCAGCTAGGGGGTTTTGTTTGTGGTGCCCTTTTGTGATGCGGTAGGGGACAGCACAGCGAAGTTCTGGGGGGAGGTTTGGGTGAGGCAGCAAGTGTGTGATGAGGAATAAAGCAGAGGGTGTGGGCAAAATTAGCAGAGGCGGACTCAGACGTGCAATTAGGAGAAGGGTTCAGGCTTGGTTTTCCTGTGATCTCTGCTGCGTTATTTTTCTCCTTCTTCATGTTTTGACAGCCTCTCCCTGGGTGGGGAACACAGCTTGTTTCATAAATCCCTTAGTCATACAAACATGACAGACAATTCTTTTTCTTCCTTCAAAATAAATATAGTCACAGATATTTCAGTCAGGTCCACTCTCCAATTTGCCTCTGACATTAAGACGAGCCATCGGTATTTCACTACACTACGGGTAGCGCAGCTGGGTCAGCTGACCTTTCCAAGAGGCTTAATTCCTGTCAGTTTTGAAGAGAAGAATAAAATACCATGCAATCAGCCTCCACAGCCCCACAAAAGAGATAGAGACATCTTCCCAGACAGGGTTGAGACCATGAGGCAGCACTTTCCCCACCGTGACCTCCATCTCAAGAGGCAAGGTAGATGTGGGGGGCCTGGGATGGAAGAGGGGTGTGTGGGGGTAAGAACTGGGAAAAGGCTGTAGATGGACAGAGCAGTAAAATTTTAAAAAGCCAAAAATTAAATTAACGTAATGTACGTCTAGTCCTAAGGAAACAATTAAACTTGACAGAGCAACAAGGATACTTAAAGGTGGAGTGTAGAGAAGAGAGAGGAGGAAACAGAAGCAGGGACCTCCCCACCGGTGCAAATGCAAACAAAGTCCATGAAAGATGATGCCTTTGGAAACAGGACCACAAGTTGGTTTCCTTTAAGTCAGAACAATTTTACCTAGCAAACAGCTGATGAAGAGGTGCATATATTTGGAGGTGCTTCTGACCCTGCCCTCACCGTTACCAGTTTGGAAAGTTCTACGTTGTGATCACCCTGGGCAGAACTAGGTCCTGTTCTGGATCCAGACCTGCCTGATCAGGAATCTGGAGACTCTCCTAAACCCTGGAAGTGCACAAATTTACTGAAAATGATTGGAAGCTGAAACTGTAGGGTAATCTCAAATATCTCTCCTGGACTGTTATTTACACCACAAAGGTACTGAAAAAGTCATAGAAAGAATTTGAAAGAATTCTCCTCCCGCATGCCAATTTGGATTGAGATTGAAAAGTGCTTTCAAGAACACACTCACTTCATTAAAAAGGCAAATATGCCTGGCTATCTTTGAGGGTCATTCCAAAGGCAACACATCTGAGGACAAAAGTGATTTTGGGGGGCTAATTTTTCTTCTATAACTATTTTGGGGTTACATTTTTACCCCTCATATGTGCACTGATTTCTCTTTTGACTTTTAATCATCCCTAGCCAACTCCACCCTAGTGTGATTATTCTCCAATCACATGTCCATCTTGGACCTGTGCATTGAGTTTTGTAGTTGCTGGTACATTCTGTCTCTCGAATCTGTAGGGCTAACTCCTTTCTATTGTTGATCAGAGATTAACTTCTCAAAGGGGCCAATACTGACCTTCCTATTTAAAATTACAACTGTCTGGCCTCCCTGGTGGCGGAGGTGGTTGAGCGCCACACTGTGAAGCTGTCCGCAGCCTCTGCAGTGGGGGTTCGATCCCAGCCAGCTGGCGAGAACCCCACATGGCGCAGCAGATCTTTCCTGCCCTGCCCGCTGCTCTCCTCAGCAGTGTATTTCGTCAGTCTGCCTGTTCTGTTCCCCACTCTGTCTCTGGTGAATCCTCTCACCCTCCCGCACATCTCCCGGGTTCTTGTATAAATAAATCTTAAAAAAATTAAAAAATAAATAAAAATAAAATTACAACTATCCATGCTTATGAGCCCCTTTACCTTGATGTATTTTGTTCTTCGTAGCGTTACCTGCCTAATGTTTATGTTTCTTGCCTCTCATCTCTCTTCCTTCTCTTAGACTACAATTCTATCACAACTGGACTTTTTGTATCTTTTGCTCACTGGTGAATCTCAGAGCCTAAGAAATTGCCTGGCATGTAAAAATCACATATTTGCTCAATGAATGGATGAGAGAATGAGTTGAA